TTAAAAAAAAAAAAAAAAGTATGTTTAGCTCCAATATAGGAAGTGAAGTTCCCTTGAACTGGAGGCATGCAAACAGCTTTGCAAGACACAAAACACACCGTGGGTGCTTGTTCTGATCCAATCTCTCTGGCCCCAAACCAGCATCTCTCATGCTGTAACTGAAGCAGCTTTCACTTAGTACTACACACCGACTTCTCTGTGGGAAGAGAACTGCTCAGTGTGGTGGCCTGATCTCTAGTAGAATCACTCTGAATCCAGTGTCTACAGAAGGCGCAGATGTGCTGACAGGGGTAAGGGCCCCATGTGGCAGCTGAACAGTGAGAACCAGCAGCTCTCCACTTTCAGGAGTGTGATGCCAGGAACTCTGGCGTGATGGTTAAGAGGGTGGGCTCCGGGGTCAGCCGGCCACTTTTCATCATCAGCGTGGCCTTAGATTAGCAACCTAACTCGTCTGTGTTTCCTCATCTGTAGAATGGAAATATTAGGGTTGTTCTGTGGTTAAAATGAGGTAATACTTGTAAAGAATTTAGAAGGAGTCTCTGGCACATAGTAAGCCCTGATAAATGTGAGTTATTGTTAATACTATTAATAACATGAAGGTAGTAACAATTCTATTACGTCCTCATGTCAGCAACTTACAATTCCTGTCCTCCACTGATCTGTTCTCCTGATAAAATCTGAAATAAACAGGCTTAATATAACTTTTAAATTTCATTTGACCCCAATGATTTTAAGACTAGAAATAAAACAGTAGGAAATAAACATGATAAAATTAATTTAAATGAATACTTTAAGTTGCTGACTCAGTAACTACTTAAAATATACATTTCAGGAAGCAGGATCAATAACTGCTCTGGACCCTCAAACTAGCACGGTATAGACTTGGAGTACAAGAGGGTGCTCAATAACATTTTTTGAATGAATGAAATAAACAAACGAATTTTTAAAATTGTCACTCCAATCCATCATCTCATCACTAATATTCTACTCTTTTGCTGCACCCCATTTCCTCCCCTCTGGAGCAGTATCCCCCAAGTTTTAGATGTATTTTAAGAAGCATGCTTTTTCAAAGGACACAAGGTGATTTGGTAGAACCAGAACCAAAACATTTATTTAATTGTGTGTGATCAGACGATATGACAGAGGGACACGTTTCATGTGCCATGAAACCTCAGTAAATGCTCCCCTCTCTACTTACCCCCTTGCTCTCCCCACGACATCTTTCTTCTCTAGCCAGTGTTGTCCTTGTTTATAGAGGCCTCGGTCATCAACGGCATTATTGTCTCCTTTGGTCAAAAACTTAATATGTCCATTTTGCCTTAAAAGAGTAAGGGGAAAAAAAAAGAGTGAGGGAAAGCCAAGTTACCAAATACCTTCATGCCATTTGCAAGCACAAAATTCGCTTTGTTAACCAAAAATGCTGTGGAACTGTGGTATTTTATCATCATTCCTAATATCAAAATAATTATCTATTTAACCAAAAGGATGCTGATAGCTGTGTTTATACTAGGGAAAAACTGGAAGCAAGCTGAAAGTCTAACATTCAGGAGTTAAAATATGTAAGCATTGAGGACAATGTTATAGAAGAATAGTTAATGACACTGGAAGATGATACATATTTTATTAAGCGAAGAAAAGATTATAAAATAGCATATACAGTATAATCTCATTTTTATATTTAGATAAACACAAACCACTCATTTTCTGTAAATACGAAGAGCAAAGGAACACATTAAACTACCCCACAGAATATAATCCACAACAAACACTAGGGAAACTAAAGAATAACCTAGTTTCTTCAATAAGTTGTGAGGAACAAAGAAAGTTGGAGAAAGAATTTACAGCTTAAATAAAAGAGATTATAAAGCCTTATCAACCAATTGCAACCAAGGACCTTATGTGAATCTAGATTCAAACAAACTGTTAAAAAAAAAAAGCTTATGACACATTTGGGAATTTGTACAAAGATTGGAAACGTAATGATATAAAGGTATGGTTGTTCTTTTTTGGGGTGTAAGCATGCTAACTGTAGTTATATGTTTTTTAAAAGCTCACTGCTTATGCTTTAGAGATATTTACTAAAATATTTACATATGACATGACATGATATCTAGGATCTGATCCAAATAATACAGGAAGGAGAGTGAGAAGAGGTGGAAGTCTAAGTGGGGCAGAACTGGCCATAGAGTCATAATGATCGGGACTGGCTGAGAGCACAACAGCAGTTCATTATACCGTTTTGTATACCTCTGTGCATGTTAGAAATGCTGTCTATCTATCTACCTATTTATTTATATTTTATTTTTAAGTAGGCCAACGTGGGGCTTGACATGACCCTGAAATTGCGAGTCGCAGGCTCCACTGATTAAGCCAGCCAGGCACCCCAGAAATTCTCCATATTTAAAAAATAAAATTAGAGACGCCTGGGTGGCTCAGTCAGTTAAGCATATGCCTTCAGCTCAGGTCATGATGCCGGGGTACTGGGATGGAGTCCCCCATCGTGCTCCTTGCTCAGCGGGGAGCCTGCTTCTCCCTTTGCCTGTCGCTCCCCCTGCTTGTGCTCTCTCTCTCTGACAAATAATAAAATCTTTAAAAAATAAAATGAAATAAAAAATAAGAGTAAAAAAGATCTAAAGTGATAGACCAAGGTATAAACAGTGGCCATCTATGGCCTTCCTCAGCTTCTAATTTTTTTCTCCAACGAACATACATTGCTTTTACATGCCAGGGTTTTTAGGAAAAGCATTTTACTTGATCAGGAAATTATTATTTTAATTCTGCTAAAGAACAAGAGTTTTCTAGTAATTTTAAAGTTTAACTGAAAGCAGAGTACATTTTACAGTTTGATAAAGACTATCTTAAAACTAATTCAAGTGAGTTTGGGTTAAGTACTATATAAAGAAGAAAATTAGCCTCAGACTCCTACTGACTAACATCCACTTAGATTCTAAGCCAGAAACTGGCTCACTAGACACAAAATGTGCAGATGAAACTAAATTGGAATGTGTTGCAAACACCAAAAACAGTTAAGTGCAAATAGTCACATTAAAAATGAGATTCTAGTTAGAAAAAATGCAAATATATACAGAGAAAAATAATTCTTAGCTGACAACTCAGCGAGGGAAAGTGTCTGAAAACTTCTGGAGAGTGAAAGAGGACAGGTGCCAAGGGGGCCAGCTGCAAGAGTAAAAGTCAGGAGCACAGGAAGGAAGAGTCTACTCAACCATGAAAACAACAGCGAGCCCATGGAGGCAGAACAGGAACATCAAATTTGAGGAAAGGGAAATGGGGGAGTGGAGAAGCTCCCCAGGAAAGGAAAGGGATGCTACAGGAGACCTGGGCTCTCCTCAAAGACTTGATCTGCCAACAAGACACAAATGTACCCGAGTTCCCCGCTCCGGGATGGTGTCGGGAGAGACCACTAGAGCTGTGTCAAAAAGCAGAGGTCTCCGTCTACGCGCCCCGGCTTCTGTTCGACCCACTGTCAAACCTACTCCAGCACTTCACAGCTCATGGCCCCAACACTGACTGATGGCACACACTTACACAGGGCTCCCCCTTGGCTGCCGCAGGGACCAAATAGTCAACATCATCTATCTCTGAGGAGCTCGACGTGCTTGCAGTGTAATTCAACCATCATAATACCGTGACGTTAGGGGGCAAGAACTAATCACTTTGTAGGTAAGAAAAAGTAAGACCCAAAAAGCCAAATGGGTGCAAAACAATCTCTCTCTCTGTCCAGAAAGAGCAAAGCTGAGGATTAAGTCATTCCCACCGCAAACTTTCTCCTTCCAAACACTTGACCACACACCAGTGTTCACCATCATCAAACCATAATACCTTCTATAATAGACGGAACTTAGTAAGTGCACGTCAGAGGAGGCTATAAAATAAAGTACGAATTTCCATGTGAGAATAGTGTCAGCATTAAGAGGGACTTGACTAGCAAGCTAATGTGAGGAACTACTCAAGAGAATTTAAGTCAACTGACAATATTTCAAAGTGATGTCATCTCTTAAATGAGAACACAGGCCTCGCTATGTGCTAGGTCTTTCCTGACTCATTTCTGTTGGAAGGTAATGGAAAACGAGAGAGTAGGTAGGGGGAGAAGGACTCAAAGAAGAGATGTTTCGATGTTTCGCCATCTGTGGAGCACGTGTAACCTGGCCCGCAGGTGTGTCTCAGCCGTCTTGGAGGAGCCAAGAGTAATAACTCCCCCTTTTCCTTACTAAATTAAAAACATAGTAACTAGACTACAATAAATGCAGGAGGTGGTTGAGTCTTTTTAAAAAACACCATCGAGGGGCGCCTGGGTGGCTAAGTCGTTAAGCGTCTGCCTTCGGCTCAGGTCATGATCCCGGGGTCCTGGGATCGAGCCCCGCATCAAGCCCCGCATTGGGCTCCCTGCTCCGCGGGAAGCCTGCTTCTCCCTCTCCCACTCCCCCGCTTGTGTTCCTGCTCTCGCTGTCTCTCTCTCTGTCAAATGAATAAATAAAATCTTAAAAATAAATAAATAAATAAAAAACACCATCGACAGCTTTTTCTCAATGTACTATTTACTCCTCCAAACTACCTCCTATTGCAAATACTGGAAGTTTCTTAATGTCCCTTACAATATTATTTTGCCTGAGCTCAGCACTGCACTAGAGCTAAGCCCTGGATTACATGTGCTTTCCCACCACCTGGTCAGACAGCTCAGCGCACAGAGTGTGTCTTCTGGAGAACAGATAGGACGAGGTAGTGACCACCTTGGGCACAAAGAACGGATTCAAATTCATGGGCCCATTACCAACACATTAAGCAGTACTTGGCAAGCTGATCTTTTAGTTTAGGGATTCTTCGCATAGGTGGTAATACCAGGTATATTCTACTGTATGTTCATGAGGTAAGCTTGTTACCAAAAACTGTATTGAGTAGATCCCAGTGTTGTACAGGGGGAAAATGTGTATTTATAAAACAAAGAGAGAATTACCCAAAATTTAACATTCTCTGGGTGTTAAGGTTGCATGTGATTTTGTTTGCTGTATTTACCAATTTTATACAGCACCTTATTATATGCTATGTAATAAGACTGTTATAAAATGGAGAGTCAACATATGAAAAAAAGAGCTTTTTATGATATTTTCAAATTTACAAAGGCACTGTACATAAGAAGCAGGTGGAGAAGGAAAGGAGGAATGAGACCAAAGAGAGAGGTCAGTTGAATGATTCCTACCTCTCTTCTTCTCAAAGTTTAGGATTTTATTTCTTTTTTTTTTTTTTTAAAGATTTTATTTATTTTTTTGACAGAGAGAGACACAGTCAGAGAGGGAACACAAGCAGGGGGAGTGGGAGAGGGAGAAGCAGGCTTCCCGCGGAGCAAGGAGCCCGATGCGGAACTCGATCCCAGGACCCCGGGATCATGACCTGAGCCGAAGGCAGACACTTAACCGACTGAGCCACTCAGGCGCCCCAGGATTTTATTTCTTAAAACAATGTTCAGACAAAAGAAATGAGTAACAGTGCAAAAATCAGCCTGAAAATGTTCAGGGCACATTTACCAAAACACTTCATCCGTTCTGGTTGTCATTTAGTCTCATATTTAAGAACACTGTTAACACTACTAAATCAAATGATATTCACAATCAGGTATTTTAGTCTTCCCAAAAGAAAAAAGGAAATTGGAAGCTTCAGGATATTAACTGGATCTGTTATCTAGCCAGGCCTTCAAGCTGAAGGCGTCTCAAGAGTCTAAAATGAAATCACCCAAAACCCTAGATTAGTAGTACCATACAGCTTAAAACATTCAGAATTGTTAAAATTATTTTTAAAATTTAAGGAATCTATAATTGATATGTCAATGAACCTGCCCTAAAACAAGATCAACTGTTTAAAATAAAAAACTCACTCAATTTCAAAGGATTGCACATGAAAACGGGTAACTTTTGCTCTACCCAAAGCAGGGTCTGAGTGTCATTTGATTTTCTCTGATAAAATCAGGAAAAAGTTGGCTCTGCTTTGCTCACAACAGGCAGCGCTAAGAACAAACACCACAAATCCACTTGGAGAATCTGGAAAACACTGCCTGTACTGAATAAACCTTCACAATTCCAAACTAAATTTCTAAAAAAATTAAGTTGTTCCTTCTTAGTCAATAGTAAAATGCCATTTTAAAATTATAATCTTTCAAAATATATACTGAAGTTTGGAAAAAAAAAAAAAAGAGCAGTCCCATCTTTACTTCACCAATGAAGAAAGAACTCTTTTAAACTAGAGTGTTTATGGGGATTTTCATAAAGCAACAGTTGAGGGCGCCTGGGTGGCTCAGTCAGTTAAGCGCCTGCCTTCGGCTTAGGTCATGATCTCAGGGTCCTGGGATCGAGTGCCGCACTGGGCTCCCTGCTCAGAGGGGAGCCTGCTTCTCCTTCTCCCTCTGTCCCTCCTCCCTGCTCTCTCTCACACATGCAAATAAATAAAATCTTTAAAAAAAAAAAAAAAGCAACAGTTGGTAGTTCCCTCTTCTCTAAGTGGAGAAAATAAATCACTTTAGAGGGTGGGGTAAGAATAAGATAATATTTATTTAGGGTTCCTTCATTCTCAAGAACCTAAAATCACTATCTCATTGTTTTCCTTCCCCTCTGTGTGTCCTCCAGGACACCTACCTTTTCCTTCATTTCTTTCTTTCCTTCCCTCCTGAATGTTTTCCTTAACTAGAAATACTACCGATTTGTAAGGGAGGGGGTGAGGAATATGGAGCTGGACAGGGAAGCATAAGCTCAGAACTCACAGATCTTATAATTCATCTTCCTAAACCTCTTAATATTGCAGATAAGGAGATAGACCCAGAGAGGTGAAATTCTTTGCTCATTGTTATGCCCCACCTCCAGGTGATTCTAAAGGTTTTACATATGTCCCTTCTAACTCTAAAATGCAAGAGTCTATGTTTAAAAGAGTAACTTAGATTTTAGAAATTTTCTTTGGAATTTAGGGGTGTCTGGCGGGCTCAGTCAGTGGAGTGTATAACTCTTGATCTTGGGGTTGTGAGTTTGAGTCCCATGTTGGGTGTAGAGATTACATAAAATCTTAAAAGAAAAAGAATTTTTCTTTGGAATTTGAAAAAGTTGATAAATTTATTCTTATTGGATATGTCTGTTAGATTGCCATAAAGTTTTGTTTTGTTTTTTTTTAAGGATTAGGGAGGGCTACCTCATCAATTACATTAGAAGATTCTATTTGGGATCAACCTTTATGTCGTTTTTTGGGGGGTGATACACAGGGCTATGGATCTGGTTGGGAAGTAAAAGGAAATCAAGGAAAACTTCCAGAAAAAGCTTCAGAGAAATAAATGAATTAATAGGTAACTCTTTAGCTTTCCAAATGTTCACTAAACCTTCAGACATTTATAAAAATGGATTGGAAGAAGGACTTAAGGCATTCCCCACTCTTCTTAATCTTCAGGTTATCAAAATTAAACACTGCAAACACTAAAACATGAAAAGATCTTAAAACAGGGAAGACATAGTTTGCACATACTTTTCATGAATCTTCAAGACTCGGTGAACTATAGGAATCTCTCTTCCTTCTATCCTAAAAACAACAATTTCTCCCACTCGGATGGGATCTTCAACACGATTTGTTAAAAAGAGAAGATCTCCTCTATGAAATGCTGGTTCCATGCTGCCACTAGGAGGGAGAGAAGAATATAATAGAAAACAAAGTGTGAGATTAAATTTACTTTCAAAATTACATATTCAACAAAACAATCACAAATATCACCCCTGGAGTATACTCAATACTTTAACAAATGTATCAGCATTGATGTGTGTTGTCCCCAAAATATGGTTTCCACAGACTAATGAGTTATACAGAAGTTTCTTTGGTTATTAGCCTTAACTGACTAGATCCGTTTCAAGCATTACTATTCAAAGGAACTTACTTAAATCTTGAAAAGGGCAATGTTACTAATTCCTTAACCTTTTAAAATTTCAAGTGACAAATGGAATATAAAAGAATGAACTTTATAATCACTGCCCTTATTCTCACCTCATCTGAAAACGCTAAACACATTCAAATATTCAAATGAGAACTGGATCGTCTTCTGCCATTTATAAAGATAAGAGACCAAGATGACCTTACAGTTTTGATTCATTAAGAAGGAAAAAGAGCTCATCAAGTCAAAGAATAGTCAGCTACAGAGATAATGCTTCTGTTATCAACTTATTTTAAAAAGAAAAACAAGAAAGAAAATCAACAACAAATGCAGAGATTTTTGTTTAAGAATTTCAGAAATGAGGAAAGGCTTCAATTCCATGGTAATTAGGACAAACTTCTGGAGTCTTCTCACCTCTCCCCTGTTCTACCCTATACCAAGTTTTTCAAAGATCCTAAGATATTTGCACTAATTAATGAAACTTTTCTTGCTATGAAGAAGTAGCCCATCAGTATTATTTTCTGAAACTCAAGCTCCAGTTTTTAATAATAGATTTAGTAAGAAAAATAGACAGATAAGGGTTAAAATCCAATACAGGAATAATGACAAAGTCCAAACACTTCTGTATTAAGACTCTGGTACCTCAACATAGGGGAATATGGCAGTCGTTCCCAAACTTGTTAGAATCACCTGGGGAACTTAAAAAAAAAAAAAAAATCCCAGAGTCTAGGTTGTAGCTCTAGCCATCTAAATCAGAATGCCTGGGGATGGGAGGCAGACATCAGTATTTTGTAAAGACCCCAAGTGACTCCAATATACAGCAAAAAAGACCCCAGGTGACTCCAATATATAGCAATATATAGGGAACCACTGGGGACACGGATTTTCAGTACATGTTTATTCTTAACACTTTTGTTAAGGTTCTTCAGGGGACAAGGAGTTCCCTTTTTCAGAAGATGTTCAGGCAGAAGACAGGACATGTGTTTGGTGAAAATATTAGAGAAAGTATTCTAAACCTATAGTTTTCAAGTTTTTACTTTGATTTTTAAGATCAGTGACATCCTTTGTTCAAATAAAACCTTGCTCGAAAATTGTATCAGGGCGCCTGGGTGGCTCAGTCGTTAAGCATCTGCCTTCAGCTCAGGTCATGATCCCAGCATCCTGGGAATGAGCCCCGCATCGGGCTCCCTGCTCAGCGGGGAGTCTGCTTCTCCCTCTCCCACTCCCCCTGCTTGTGTTCCCTCTCTCGCTGTGCCTCTCTCTGTCAAATAAATAAATAAAATCTTTTTTTTTAAATTTTTTGTTATTATGTTAATAAATAAAATCTTTAAAAAAAAAAATTATATCAATGAAACAGATAAAAGCTGGGCTGCTACGGTTTAATGACTCATTTTTATTGAGCATTTACTGTGTACAAAGTGCCATTCTAAGTTTTTTTTTAAACAATCTTCAGAATAACTCTATGATGTAGATACTCTTATTATCCTAACTTTATAGACAAGGAGATTGAGGCTTAGAAAGTTGTAAAGTTATAAATCAAAAAAATGTTAAAGGTGAGATTTGAGCAGGGAGTCCAACAGAATCCACTCTCACTGTGCTAACCTGCCTCTAAGCCACTCTAGGATTTTCAGCAGGGAGTATCATAATCACATTTACATTTAAGAAACATCACTTCGGAAGGTACAGAATATGTAGAGGACATTTAAATATTTATTGAATTAATGAGTAAACTAGGAAAGATCAGAAGGTAGACTGACTGGAGACCAGTTGTCCAGGCTATTATTTATAATTGAATTCTTGGCAATCATTAAAAGTGTTATTAAAAAGATGGACACAGGAGAATCTAAGGGGACACATAAAGAAAAGGACGCACATACAGAATTACTTAATCACGTAAGAAGTAATATACATGAAAAAAGAGACTAAAATATATATATATATATATATTTTTTAAAGATTTTATTTATTTATTTGAGAGAGAGAATGAGATAGAGAGAGCATGAGAGTGGGGAGGGTCAGGGGGAGAAGCAGACTCCCCGCCGAGCAGGGAGCCCGATGCGGGACTCGATCCCAGGACTCCAGGATCATGACCCGAGCCGAAGGCAGTCGCTTAACCAACTGAGCCACCCAGGCGCCGAGACTAAAATATTAATAGTGATTCTATCCCAGAACTATGGGTGACTTCATTCCACTTAGAGTTTTTCTGTGTTTTCAACATTTCATGTAGTGAAAATATATTAACTTTTCCTGATTACAGAAGCATATTTTTAAAGGTCACTACAACAGCCCAGGCAGGAAATGAGGAGGGCCTGAAATAGAACAACAGCATGGAAGACAACTATGAAAGAGGAGAAGAGAAAGAGAAAATGGTAACTTTGATGGCCAATCGGATAGGACAGAAAGGGGTGATCAAAGATGACTCCTGGATTTTTAACAATGGCAACAGAGCAGATGCCAGTGACAGTCACAGAAACAGGAGGAAGAAGAACAGGTATGTGGGAAAAGGAGATGAATTTTACTTTTATTACATGGAATTTCAAGTGCCCGGTCAACATTCAGATGGAGATGTCCAGTGTAGGGTGAAAACAAGAGTCTAGATTTCAGGGAAGAAAGCTGGGTGGAAATAAAAAGATTTAAAAATTCAGATACAGATGGGGTTAAAAACAGTGTGAAGTGGGGCGCCTGGGTGGCTCAGCTGGCTAAGCATCTGACTCTTGATTCAGGCTCAGGTCATGATCTCAGGGTCATGGGATCAAGCCCCGTGTTGGGCTCTGTGCTCAGTGAGGAGCCTTCCGCTTCGGATTCTCTCTCTCCTTCTCCTTCTGCCCCTCTCCCCACCCTGCATGCGCATGCTCGCTCTCTCTCTCAAATAAATCTTAAAAACAAAAACAAAACAGTGGGCAGTGAGAGAACTACTAAAGAAATACACTGGGGGACACTTTTTAAACATTAAATAAATTATTAGTAAACTTTTTACCACTGCCTGACTAAATTTTTAAAATTAATACATCAATTGTAAATTTTATAAGAATTTATATGTAAACCACTTAAATATTTTTAAACTGACTTCAGCTCTATAAAGGGGAAAATAAGTTTTGAATGTTTGCTGAAACTCCAGTTAAAAAAATGAATAAGAAGGTACTTGTCTTTACCTGAAACTAATATAGTATTATGTGTTAAATATTGGCATTTAAAAAATATTTTTTAAAAAAGTTATTTGTCTTTATCCCCCAGTGACTTCACAGAAGTCCTAAAAGTGGATTCTCAGTTAACCTGAATCCTCTGAGGCATATTTAGTTCCAGGTAATAATTATATTCCTCGAAGTTACACGAAACCCAGGCCACCTGGTTTTACTTGGCCACCCAATCATGTCCAGTACCTTTGTCTAATGACTGCTCCTTCTAGTCTTGACCAGATTTTCTTCCACTAGGACCTGGTCTCTTTTAATTTCCTTTCTTTATTCCACATCAGTAATCAGGAAAACTTAGTCTATAAATAAACCTACCTGCGAAATAACTTGTCCAAACACCACTTTTAAGCCCCAACTGATATTTTAGATTTTCCAGCCGTAGCAGAAGTGAACTGTTTCCAGGACCACAGTGTTGAACAGGTCCTCAGTCGAATCCCCTGTTCACTCCAACATCCCCAGTTTACAGGTCATTAGATTGTCCTTAAGCATCTCCAGTGAAGGGAACTCAATCTGAAATAATCCCAGAAGAATCTCTAAAAGAAGCCTCTCTGGGCTCTCTACACCTTTTCCCCACGGTGCCAATTAGTGACTTCTCTTTCTGTTAGTGTTTGAAAGTGAAGCTCTCCACTGAATTTAAAACTGTCTGGGAACTTGGGGCCACGTCTCTGTACTCCCAGAGTAGTACATTAAATGCTTTCCCAGCTAATAAAATACATACATGCCTTTGGATCTCTAAAACTACAGTTGGACGTGTTCATTAATAAACACAGAACAAAGGTATGAGTAAGAGTAGGAGTAAGGTAAGAGTAAGACACTGGAGACCCAGTGCCTTGCTGCTGGAACCACTTGTTGCTGAAGTACTTATATCCTAAGATGACAATGAAGGAATCAAACTGATCTTGTTAAGAGTAATGTACTATTATCTACACTCAAGGTAATGATTTATTTTATACTTATATACCGTTATCTCCTGAAAAGATTTGAAACAGCTTATATAATTAAGCCCCAAATTAGACAGAACTATAATGATTCAATTAAACAACCAAGTGGTAATTCTCCAAAAAGGAGTTAGTTACTAAATTTGGTTTTTAAATCACTAGAGTATGAGTTCAAGGGTAGAGAAGGAAGTATGGGGGGCAAAGATTCAGTACTGTCACTTTAAGAGGCAGCATTAATATCTTCAAAATTTCTGAAGTCTGTTTAGAAGTGATATTTAAAGGTCAGCAGGAAACAGGGAAATAATTAGTGATGCTTCTGAACTGACACTGAGAACACGCTGCAGAAAAACTCTTAATTCACGGAGATGATACCTAATCTAGCAAACTAACAACTAAATAGCAGCCCTGATGAATCAAAATGAAGAATGTAAGAAGACAGAATTATTTCAGGAAAATACAGTACATTGACACACTTTCTTACAAGATGTACCAAAAATAAAACTCACATAGTAAACGTTTTGTAGAAAAGTCATGAGCCCTTTGGGGTCTGAATTCTAAGTGCCTAACAAGGCTGTGCATTTCTCACAGTTGAAAAATAGTAACCGATTTTCTTTCAGGCCCTCTTCTGGGAAAGCATAGTTTCTAGAGGAATAATACAATAGTTACTCAATTTCTCAATTTATCTCTCAAGCAATGCCATGTAATTCTATGCCTGGAAAAGAAAAACTGTTACCTGAGCACCACTACAATTGGACTTTCGCTTCCAGTTATGACCATTAGCCCCTTCCAGATCATTAGTGCCGAGGAGACAATCATTCCAAAATTTAGGACTTGGTAATACAGCTGTAAGAACAAAAGAGAAGAAATGAGATCCATAATTATCCCCACTCAAGAAAGCAACTGAGAGTAGTATCAATTTAAAAGTTTCAAAAAAAACCACAAAACACCAAACAACAAAACCTTTTCAGGTAGTACTATTAGGACAACTGAAGTTCTGAGACATTCTTTAAAATACTGTAATAATTATGCCATCAGCATCCCAGCACAGCCCCCTATCCCCCAATAACCCTTCTCCTGTTTGGTCACTCAACGCGCTACCCTTACATAATAACTTATGTTCAAAACTTTTCACAGACGTTATTTCATTTAGGCTTCACCACAATTCACCTTAAGTTCAATCACATCCGTGATACACACCACTGCTTCTCAATTCCTCTAGGACTAACTGTTCTATAACGTTTATCCCTTGAGAACAATGGGCTATTCGCGGCATCTAATCCCCCTCCCTCATCTTACAGTTGAGGAAACTTAGTCTCAGAGGAAATGACTGTGCCAAAGTCATACAGCTTGTTAGTCACATAATTAGGACTTGAAAGCCAGCCTTTTCTGTCTTACTACTCGACAAATTGTAAGATTCTACTTCAATAAGCAGATATGATACCAGAAAGGCATTTCAAGTGAGAGAAATAATGTGAGCTAATTGTGTTGAACTAAGGCGGATAAGAGGATGATTGACTGGGGTGCCTGGGTGGCTCAGTCATTGAGCGTCTGCCTTCAGCTCAGGTCATGATCCCAGGGTCCTGGGATCGAGCCCCACATCAGGCTCCTTGCTCTGCGGGAAGCCTGCTTCTCCCTCTCCCACTCCCCCTGCTTGTGTTCCCTCTCTCGCTGTGTCTCTCTGTCAAATAAATAAAATCTTGGAAAGAAAAAAAAAAAAGAGCATGATTGACTCATTTTTGTTATTTTAAAAAATAAATGTGCATGTGGACATTCTGCAAGACAACTGTTCTAGTCTTCAAAAATTCAATGTCATGAAAATAAAGGTGGGAGACTGTTCTAGATCCAAAAGGACTACAGACATATCCAAATGTAATGTATAAACTTTGATCGGATCTTGGTTCAAAAGAACAAAATGTATATAAGAAAAAAATCCCAACTATAAAAGACATTTTGGGGGGTGCCTGGCTGGCTTAGTTAGTAGAGCAGCTTGCAACTGTTGATCTCGGGGTCACGAGTTCGAGCCCCACACTGGGCATAGAAATTACTTAAAAAAAAAAAAGAAGATATTGGGGAAACTCAAATATGAAATGATAGTAGGAAATTAGTGTTAATTTTCTTAGATGTGATAACAGTACTATGGTTATGTGAGATACTGCATGCTAGTAGTAGTTAGCCAATTGTAGGAGTTAGGGGTGAACTGTCGTATCTGCAACCCATATCAAATGATTCAGAAAAAAAAATTATATGCACACATAAGTACACAGAGAGCAAATATGGCAAAATGTTAACAACTGTTGAATCTATGTGGTAGCTTACAGGTGTTTGTATACTATTCTTTCAATTTTTTTCAGCTTTACTGAGATACAATTGACAAATAAAAATGTAAGATTGAACTCAAAACCCTGAGATCAAGAGTTGCATGCTCTACCAACTAAGCTAGTCAGGTGCCCCCAAAGTGTAAGATATTTAAAGTGTATAACATGAGGGGGTGCCTGGGTGGCTCAGCTGGTTAACTGTCTTAACTCTTGATTTCGGCTCAGATCACGATCTCAGGGTCCTGGGATTGAGCCCCACGCCAGGCTCTGTGCTGGGAGTGGAGCCTGCTTGGGATTCTCTCTCTTCCTCTCCCTTTGCCCCTCCCCACCCCTCTCCTCTCTCAAATAAGTAAGTGGATCTTTAAAGAAAAAAAAAGTATATGACATGAGGATCTGATATATGTATACCCTGTGAAAGGGTTCCCCCATGGAGTTCATTAACATATCCACCACCTCGCATAACTGCCCCTTCTGGCGGGGGGGGGGGCGGGGGGGGAGGTTGGGTCTTTTAATTTTTCTTGAAACAAAGGTATAGAAAAAACTGGAAGAACATAAATATGTGAGTGGTTACATCTGGGGCTACAATACTAGCCAATTTTGTGTCATTTTGTTTATCTGTATTTTCTACTTTTACAAATCATTTTTATTTCTATCGAAATATAATTCAAAACCCAGCAATTATCCTGGTCATGGGAGGCCGCCCAGCAATCATTTTTGTCTCTTTTAGCTATTTCTTGTGCTTTTTACCCTCATGCTTCTAAAAACTAATTGTCACTCCTATTTTTATAAATTTGGAACATTATCCATTAACTACCTATTATGGTAAGAATTTTAGCTCTGGAAGGATACACAAGAAACAGGACAGTGGCTGTCTCTGAAAGAGGAATCAGCAGTTGAGGTGAAACCAAAATACTTTCCAGTATATACGCTTCACGTTTTTTTAAGTTTATTTTCTTAAGTCCATGTTAACGGCCAGAATATTATCTTTCTGGCACTCCAATGAAGTATGACACAGTCTATCGATATAATCAATGTCGCCCTCAAAGGACGAAAATAATGAACATTTTCTAACAGACACAAATATTTCCTATTCTTTGAGTAATGGAGTAGTATGAGCATACGGGTATAATCTGATACCTAGTTTGACATTCCTCTGCGGACATTTCCTTCCATTTACAGGTGAGGAAACTGAGGCACAGATAGGCTAAGTGATATGCTCATAGCTGCACAGCTACTGGCAGGCAGAGCAGTAACTATTAGGACTCAGGTCTCCTAAATTCTACCTCTTCAAGATGGTAGTTTTTTTTTTTTTAAGATTTTATTTATTTATTTGAGAGAGACTGAGAGACAGAGAGCATGAAAGGGCAGAGGGTCAGAGGGAGAAGCAGACTCCCTGCTGAGCAGGGAGCCCGATGCGGGACTCGATCCCGCGTCTCCAGGATCATGACCTGAGCCCAAGGCAGTCGCTTAACCAACTGAGCCACCCAGGCACCCCAAGATGGTAGCTTTTTAAAAGACAAAAAAAATGGTCCTGTTACTCAGAAAACAGAATTGAGGAAGTGGAGTGGGAGAGGTCAAAAGTAGGAAAACTAATTTCTAAGAAGTAATTCTGGTCAACCAGTGGATAAGCAGACAGGAATTCAGCTGAAGGCGCTACTTTCCAAGCTTTCGATCCTGAAAAGTTACCTACAGTATTGCACCCCAATCCTGAACCTCTGAGGGAAGGGCTGTGAGATTCCACATAAGCTACCAAATATAAAATATAGCTCCATGATTCCTTACCTGGGGGTCAGATAGGTTTCATATTTAAAAATTAGCCAGATTTTGAAAAGGTAATCCTTGCAAGTACACATATTTACATAACACCCCTAGCACGGTCTATGGCAATATCCCATAATCAAGCATGTTCATATTTCTGCAGCAAAACTTTAAAAATTCACACTGAAATAATTAAATCTAAAAATAGCTACATATCAATCAGTTCAGGTCTGTTTCGTTGATGAAAATCTTTCCATTTTTAGAAAGGTACTGATGTAGCATTGTCAGAACAGGTGTGGGATATCTAATAACTATTCTTTAAAAGAAAAGCGAAAGACAAAAATTACAACTTCCTAGGTCCCTGCAAGGAGGCCACTATTCTACCCATAATTAGCCTTCTCTTTTCCCTCAGACTTGTAATCCTACCTTTCACTACAGAGTCATTGTTGTGAAATTTATCTAATCACTAAAACCACCCCCATCATTCTTATTAGTGAGAAAGAGGTTAAAAGTCCCTCACTATGTACAACCGGTATGTTCCTTAAAATGTGCCTACTTGCATACTGCAAAGTCAGTCTGTGAGCCCAAACCTACACAGAAGCACACTATTTGCTGAAACAAATACTCTATCTGAGCAAAAGTTGAAAAATGTCATATTCTTCTCCCTTTCTTTTCTCCCCTTTTTCCTACCAACAGTCTTTATTCAAAAGACAAACATATTGCCTCCCTAGCTCCTCCTTTCTTTACCACTACATCTGAATACTTATGAATATACATGATACAAAAAGGGCTGTCTCCTGGTATTAGCAGAAATAAGGTGGCAGCTACCTAACCTCATACCATTTGGCAACATCATGCTAACTATTAATAAGACATTGTGACATATGTAGAAGAACAACCACAGAAGTGAATAGCTCTCTTATTGTTTCTAAGAAGTAACTGGAACAATATGCTCTTCAATGCTCAAGGTGAAACTAGAAAAGAATGTTATTAAAACCAATCAAAGCAGTGCCTTGGGTGGCTCAGTTGGTTAATCGTCTGCCTTCAGCTCAGGTCAGGATCTTGGGGTCCTGGGATCGAGCCCCACGTCAGACTCCCTGCTCAGGGGGGAGCCTGTTTCTCCCTCCGCCTCTGCTCCTCCCCCTGCTCATGCTCTCTCTCTCTCAATTAAATAAAATCATAAAAAAAAAAAAAAGCAGAGCTCTTGGTAAGTATGGTACAGGAATTTGTGTGTGCTATTTTATTTTTGCAGTTTTAGGAAGCAGAACCCTCCCCTACAAGTTTTGTGACAATTTAAAATACACTGTAGGGGCACCTGGGTGGCTCAGATGGTTAAGTGTCTGCCTTCAGCTCAGGTCATGATCCCAGGGTCCTGGGATCGAGCCCCACATCGGGCTCCTGGCTCAGCGAGGAGCCTGCTTCTCCCTCTCCCTCTGCCTCTCTCCCTGCTCATGCTTTCTCTCTCTCTCTCTCT